AATTTTACTTATCCGGATTGCAGTGATGAAATTCTAGGCTACTAAAAGCTGACATCGGATGGATACCATATTTATAGGTGACAAGTGAAAAACTCAGGAGGGGGCAGTGGATAAAAGAGGGCGATTGAAGCAATGGAGGCAGGAAACAATGCATTTTCAACGAATTCAAACAATGAAAATTCAGTTGACTTGGCGCTAGAATGGAATATGATGCCCGGATTTTGCTGAATAAAGAAGGATCGTGGTGAGGGGTGAGGAAAAATGTCACAGGGGAAGGAATGGGGCAGCTGGCTGACCTGACCGCGATCAAATGGAACAGAAGCACTTCATATGCATCCTCAATCCTGCCTCACTATTTACATAACACTCCCTCCATGCAGGTAAATCAGACTATAAATTTTTGGAATTCTTTGTTCTCTCCAGCAAGCCAAATCCTGTATCGTACCGAAATCGCGATTTTGTTTCCGGAGAGTTTCGGGTCTTCCAGAAAGGACTCTGGCTGTTGTCTTGTAAAAAATCCTGGGTTTCAAAAATCATCTCAAGAAAATGCAAGAATTCGGCTGGTCTTTTTAAGAGATTTATGATATCACCCGCCTTTGATGTTGCTTACGCAACAGTTGTATCATAGAGGAGAAGCACGACTTCTGACTACGATATTTGGCGAAAGACGAAGGAAAGCAAAAAATCACATTCTTTGTGAATGTTTCCGAGTCCAGAAAGGGGGTTTTCAGGCCTGAATTTTCCGTGTTTTCAGACTAGGACGGGAGGTGGGGGGGGAGGAAGGAGGCTCCAGGTCAGATCATTTTAGAGTCATTGCCAGTGTTTCTGGTCGTAAAGTGAATTTAAGTTTTATAAAATAGCAAAATTTGCACGAAAATTATCGCAAATATGTGATTTTGGGTATCAGGATTTACAAATTATAATTAAGGATTTTATTTCAAAGTGAAAAATTAATTTTCAAAAAGTCATATTGCAAGAAAATTTTGAAATCCGATGGGAGTGTGCAGCATAAAATCGAAGGACCTGGCATAACTGCACAGTGTGGGAACACCTCAGTAACATCACTGACTTGGAATACTTACGCTGATTACTGGGAAAGGGCACGGTATTTTTAACATAACTTCTGTTTGGGAATCATAGACGGATCCAAGACGCCCTCTTGAAAAAGAGGGGGATGGGATTGATGGGGATAGAGGTACTCCCTCCCACCCAGGAACTTATGCAAAAAATAGGAATAGAGTTGTATTGCTATTTAGAATTACTTTAGTTTTATTTATGAACAGATCCGGGTTTTTTCAGCACTGGTGAGTGTGCTGCTGCGAGTAGGGAGGGGGGG